ATATACGTACATGTAGTCATACTTTGAAGAGATTTCATTTTACTTTCCAACATCCCAACATCGGGTGGCCATCTTGGATTTTTAAAGCTCGAATCATAAAAATAGACATGTAAATCCCTGCTTCCTGGGAGTCGGGCTGAAGAACACGGAATATTTGTGTTATCGATATATCACTGTATCCCCCATCCCGTTGTACGGACGGACAGAGGAGACCTGACTAACGGATGTATTGAAGAATTTTTTGTTTCTCGATTTGTATTCATTAGTAGCTATAGAAATGCGAGCAACAAATCGTGTTTCCTAAACAAAACGCATAGCTCCCTAGGAACACTTACATTCTTTTCCTAATAGATTTAGATGACATAATAAATTTGATAATGGTAATCAAGTTACCAAAGTAGTTGTTTTGCTAGTTAATTCAATTTACAATGGCTTGTCAGCACAAGAGGATCTTGGTTTGAAACCAAAGACATAAGGCCATAAGAAGTAGGTTATTTGTTTTGCGTCATGGCAAAATCCAAATCATGCAAGGGTACAAGGAAAACAAACACAAACTCAACAAAAAACACAAACTTGTTTATGGGCATATAAAGGGATGACATGCCAATTTTCAGTGATTACAAACACATATCTATACATCCTATACAATACATTTAAGCATAGCTATTATTCAAGGGTACAAAATAAGAAAATACACAGTGTATGCTAAAGTAATCAATAACACTGTCAATTTTGACGCACATCAAATGATCTGCCATTTCGTCCGATTCTGATTGAATGAAATGCGATGGTACTTCCAAACCCTTGTAATTGCTATTTGGATGTGTTTGTTTTTTCTGATTTACTCAAAATCGTGCAAGCAAGGGGACGCAAAACAGAGAATGTACTTCTTATGGCCTAACCTTTATTTATGCGTGTTGGTTGATTAGCAATGCATAGAGATGGCTCGTTCAAATGACATGAAATTAGAAAGTGCGGTGTTCGAATCAAAATCTAGTATTAGAAGCAAGAATCCCATTAAAAGATAATACGGATTTAATGCAATCTATCTAGAATCAATACCAGCTATTGGAACAGCCAGGCTACTTGATGAAAGTGTAAATTCAAACGGTAGCGAAATTTATCTATCCTTGATATTGTTTTTATAGATCCCTGGATGGGCATTTATGGGTTTTTACTAAGATCATAACTGATTTGCTACCTACATTATTAATATCTTTCATCAAGAAGTCTTTCAAATGTGATACAAACAAAGATATTTCATAGAGAAATAATTACTATTTCGGCGTGATTGAATATAGAGTTAAATCAAATGTGCAGCGATCAGCTATGGCCTATAAAATGGTGTCAGTTGCTTTCGACAACATTAATTCGAAATCGAGGTATGTTATTGACCATTGCGAAACACGTGTCGTGGCTATACAGGGCTCATTTGCGACTTTTGTCTTGTCCTCATTCTAATATCATTACATGATTGCAATTCAGTTTAAACCTTCTTTGAGAGCCGATGGTCTCAATTTGTTTAACATATGGATTAAACAAGTTTGATTTCTCTGATGGAATTGACATTCTGGCTTAACCAGCTAAGGAGTCTGTTGATTTGTTTAATGGAATTGTCATTTCAAACAAATGCCTTTGCCCAAAGTGCTTGACTGTATTGGTATTGAGGGAGTATTTTACTCTCATCGTGTCATTTGTTCTAGTTCAGAAATGATTATTAGAAGGCTATATCGCTTAATTATTCCGTAGTAGATTACTCTAATTTAGATCTTTTGTCTTCCTTCATTTTATTTTCACTTAATAGCTCATTTCGTGTATCTTCTGTTTTGTGAAAATTATGAATCAGTACTGGTATGTGTTATTCATTTTCTGCATGTTGGGGTAGAAAACATAATATCTTGTTTATTCTTGCGATGCTCTTCACATTATACATTTTGCATTTCAATGAGCGTCATCTTAAGCGAAGCCGTTTTCTCTATCTCCGATTCCGGTGTCTCCTCCGTTTTCATTGTCGCAGTTTCGAATTGTCTTGCATAAGCATGTGTATGGATATAATAACAAGTGATTAAACTTACATTTAATTGAAGTATCGACTAAATCATACCCATTGTAACTCTTGCAACTCTTGTACTAATTATATGGTACAAACCAGACGTCATGTGAGAGGGTCGCAGTAAAATTGCCACTAATAAATGTTGCAACATATAATGATAACAATTTATTCTAAACTGGGAATTCAATGTTTTCCATGTCATATCATCAAATGATGAACTGAATACATATAGCAAGTTATGTAGGCAATTGAATTTGCTAACTTTATTTAACAAAAAAGATACGTTTCTTTAGCTTCAACAAAGTTATACATGTAGGTCTTTAAAGTCAAAATTGTTTTTCAAAAAACCTCTCCCATTGAAATAACACAGGAGGCGAATAATGATTTTCAAATTTGAAGCTCTGTAACTTTAGTATTCATCAAGTAAACTAAACACTTAGTGTGCGAAAATGTTAGACAATTAAATTTTCTATACAAAAATAGTTTTGCTGAATCTTTTACGGAATAGATATCCTGATTTCTGATTTGCCCCGAACCGGCCCCGAACCAACCATTTCCCATTGGTTTATATGGGAATGACGATTTTCAAAAATTAATCAAATTTATCATCAATTTTCGACCTATTGTGATTGAGGAAAAAATTGAGAAAACTTGGAGGTATTGGAAGTCAAATTACGTTTCCATTAATAGTATAAGTATTTTCATCGCAGGCTAAGTAAATAAAAATTCAAAGGTAATAAAAAGGCTAACAGGTAGTTCAATGGGGGAGCTAAGGTTGCCAAAATGGATTTTTGAAAACTATTTCACGTTAATGTTGACATTCATCGATATCAAACTAGACATTCACATGTACACGTCGCACGAAACTGGGGACAATTAGCGTAACATTATGGCGTCAAAAAACCAAGACAAAACAATGAGCAGCATAGGGCGCAAACAGCCTTACAACGTCAAAAACGACAAGTGTCACATTTTTGTCAAGTTTAGTCAACCTAAAAATAAAATACTTTATCCTTATCTAATCATGACAAAATTCACAGGGTAGCAAGATCTCGAGGACAATATTTCTAAAATGTTTTTGAATTTTGGAAAACGGTCAAGAAATCCACTTGGGGCGTTGGTAAAAATTGATATGTATGGAATTTGTGGTAGAAAATCGATGCGTCACATTTTTTCAAGTCTCGAAAACCAGCTCTTATTTTAATATTATTTGCAAAATAAACAAACTGGTTATTGTTTTGTAAATTTCGCCATGACAATATTGTGCAGTTAATTTTTCTTTCAAATCAGACTTGAATTAGAAGGTTAAATGAAGGTAAACTTATTGCTCGTCCCATCCGCCTTCAAAACCTTACACAATTTTGAAAATTTTAAAAGAGTTCACATATGATAATTTGAACTGTAGCCGTTAAGCAATTGTGACGTCATAAATGAACATGTTCCATTGAATAAATTGTGAAATTTTAGTGAGGTTTTGATCATTATTTCAAAAGTTATCCCAATTTCAACGAGCCCTGTGAGTGTAAAGTGTTACGTCTTACAGCGTATTTGACGATTTTGGGATATGTTTAACTTTAAAAATATGTTGGATCCCATCAAAATTTTGAATAAAAAATAATTTCACTGAAATGCGAATAAAAAGTATTTCAAAATGATATATAAAACACATAGCTAGCTTTTTAAATGATGCAGAGATTAACGCTCAAAGCTGAAATCAGCCCGTATTTCCCGAATTGTCCCCAGGTCCGTGCACGTCATAATGATATTTATGCCTTCAAGTTCAAAACAAATTTTGTCCTCTATTTACTGAAAGTTCAAGGTCAGCAAATCTGGAATTCTATATCTCATCATATTCGACAAGCAGCCTCACTCTCAATTTTTAAGTCGCTGTTCAAACAAAATAAAATAAATGATATACCTTTATAATTTTAAACATTTGAAAATGTCTTTACTATTGGAAATCTGTACTCCGCCACATTTTGTCTTATTTACTTATTTACCGTTCTCGTGCCCTGTGTCCCTGTCCCTGAGTATTAATATTTTTTACATTTTTGAAATGATTTCCAACAGACTTGGGCCAGTGTCATTCTCAGGTATTTTTTCCCTCCATTTCTATTTGTCTTACCTTTTGGCTGCACTGACCCATTTCTGTCCAGTTAAAACCAACATATATGCTCTTGAGAACGTCATGTTGTATGGAATGTCATGTATGTTTTTCAAAATATAGTAATAAATATCTGAAGCTGAATCTGATATACAGTACAACGTGTACCAAAACTGACAATTTTTGAAAGGCTTATAAAAAGATTGCTTTTTAGAAAGGTTTATGAAATTGCCATCATTGTCATTATTTTGCAACATTGCTCTCGAGGCATCAAATGTTGTCCCCCTCCATCTAATATTAATTTATTTCGATTATTTTTTGTATAACGCATGGAAGCTAACTTTAAAAAGTGAGCAATGTCATTAGTATTGTGATAATAACGTCCCTTATACCTATTTATTACTGGTCGTGTAGACCATTGTTGCCCGATTTGTAGCAAAAACATTGACTTTTGCACTTTGGTGATGATGCGCCTTTTTAATAGATCTCATATCTTAGAAAGGTATTAGTTCCATAAAACTACATATTTTGCAATGCACTGCGATTATTCATTTGCCAATTCAGTTTTAAATTTTCTCTCGAAAAAATAAATCTTCCAAATTTGTTGAATTTTCCTACAGAAATCGCCTAATCCCCCCCCCCCCCTCTATCCATTTTGTACGATCACCGGGCGTGTAAAAGGACGACTAGTCCATACGTGTACAACATGTACAAGAATACATGAAACAAATAGTGGTTTTCTAAGTAAAAATATGACTTCCTATAAATATGTTGAGTTCTCGGGGCTCATGGTACGGCCAGGTCATCATAATTCAGTTTTGTTATTTTTCAATTATCTTTCAGCTAAAACCATGTATAAGAGAGCTCCACCCAAGGGGTTCACAGCAATGAGGGGGAAACGCAGTACAGAAATAAAGAGTGCAAAAAGAAAGAATAAAACGGTGTAGCCACACTACCAATTACGAGGTACGTGACCAGTTGTGTTTGCAATCGTGTCAACAGTACTGATAAAATAACCAACTTATAGAAGTATTTTGTGGTATTGAAAAACTAGATCGATGGAGAATTATACAAGGAACATGGAATTTAATTTCTTGGCTGCAAGATTTCACGATGGGATGGCCATGATTTCACTAATAGTTTGCTTAATAATTCTAGATACTATAAGAATGGTAACGGTTAAACCACTTAAATATTATGATCGTAGTCTTACCCAATGTTATCAACGTGAAACGAGAAAGTGAATACGCACAACTTCACACCAACGCACATCATAGTTATTTGATGTTGAAAAATGAAGAAACTTGGTTGGAAAATTAAAGAAAACTCCGAATTTTAGTTGTCATTCAGACCAATGGTACAAGAATATTAAAATCATAATGAAAACTTCTTTTCAATAATAAGATAGGCCAACCATATTGGTTTATTTTGAAAGAGGAAAAAATTATGCAGCCCAAGTCGACACCACAGCGTAACCGGATGACAGCACGATTTACAAGATGCTATAAATTCTAATGAATGCGCATAATAAAATAAAGGTTGAAATAATGTGACTTTCGCTAATCTGTTCTGTAACTTTTTCAAAAGTCAATTTTTGAAAATGTGAAGTTTTTAAGTCAAGACAAATAATATTTGATTGATTAAACTTCGCATGGGGCCTTTAAGATCAGATAGGTCGAATCGAGACAAATATATGGTTTATCACGCATCGTGAAATGTAATTATCCTTTACGATATCTCCTTATAAGTTAATAAGGGGAATCGCCAATATTTCAGTTATTGGGAAACATCCCGGGAAACATGCCCATGGCCGTGAGCAGTGACGGTAATTACCGGTACCCACATGCTGGTTCTTTGGCCGTTGTGGGTGTAATGCAGTTAATAAGTGCTTGTTTAACGAGAATGTATATTTTATTACAGGTGGGATGGTGAACCGATTGAATGACGTCCATTTGAACACCTCGTTAAACCTACCAACCGATCCATATTACAATCGCTGAACAAAACAGGAATGATGCTTTAGCCGATGGGGTACTTCCGATATGAGCAGATACAATACATTGACAATCATATGAATCATATGAATTTTTGAAAACTGATATCAAAATATTTCACTTTTCTCCTTTAGATTAAAATGTGATTTGTGAGAGAAGCATTCTGTATTAAAAGTGCCATTGTAAAATATGTTTTTATTTTTGGAAAATAGAAACCACAAATTCATTCGAGACAATCCATCAAATACCCATTCCTCATGGATAATAAACAATACAACGGACTTAAATGGTTTTTTGAAATTCGTTTGATCTCCTGCATGTACGTGTATGTTATCCAGTAGTACTAATCGGTGGTGTTGTTCAGGGTAAACAAATATGGTTGAACTCACCAGGCAACCACCATGCTGAGGTCCATATACGTGCCATATACCTAAAACAAATGAAAATGGTAGCAAAGACTGAAGAGAGTAAAATGCTATTAGCAATCTTGTCATTATTGTCCTTACAAGCCAAACTGACAAAGATTGAGATGCAGAGAAGTCCAAATACATGAGAACTGAAAAAGGGTTCCACTTTTTCAATTTTCTCTGCTAGATAGGCTTAAAGCTTGGATTTTCCTGGGCAAAAAATATGGTAAACTTTTGACAATTTTTCTCAATTCGTCTAGTCTTATCGTCACTTTAAATGATGTGATAGAAAATTGCCGATTGTACGCTGCATGATATCATACTCTGGAGCTTCATTTCTCTTCAGTTTACCTTAAAAAAAACAATGTAAAATAAAAATGAATGTAAAAACCTATGAGCGAGTTTATTCCAATAAAATCCATTAAAAATACAATTCGTAAACATTAATATCATTGTTATTTTAGTGGATGTGAATACACAAAGGGATATATTTGATACTAGAAAATAAATCCAATCAAAATTACATTTATATATGCTAATAAAACTGCGTATATTAATACCCAATAGCCATTATTTTACTTTGAAATAAAGATCTATAAATACGTCGCATCATGGCCGATCATACATTTTCACACGTAATTTCTCTGTTCAATTCCTTATTTTATCTCTCGAGGCATTTCTGGAAAAAGAATAATCCTCTTGATAAAGTTCATAAATTTTCCAGGCCTCTACTTTTCCAGAAATTGGATTTTCCTAGTTTTTAAGAGAATTCCTTGGCAATGGCAACTGTCCTTGCTCTCATTCAAACTGATAAAAAATCAAAAGCCCAACCTTGTAATGTTTGTAATTATTCTACAGACTGGTGAGTTTAACAGTATAACAATGTCACCTCTTGTGGTGGTGACATAAAAACAACAGTAGTGACATCTATTACACCAAAATGTTAAAAGTGAAGTAATGTTGCGTTCCCAAATAGCCGCGTGACGCAATAAAAATGACACCCACCCAAACAATGTTTCATCACTTTTTTGTCTGAAGAAATTCTAACTTGTTTTTTCGCACATTAAAACTACACTCCATTTTGCAACTCCACAAGAAGTTTCAGATGACTAGTTCACCTACATTGTACGGGTAGATGCACATTAATGAGCGTTCCAAAAATGTGTCATCTATTCCTTTGCTGGCACAATTGGAGCTAACACAAAAACGACACCCACCTTTTGGAACATAATTTTGGAAATAAGTTATAATGATTTAATCAACGACAACTACATTATTTTGTGTTTAATTGAATGGCATGTCTACTTTAAATGTGCCAGAGGACAAGAACTTAGTCTATATGCTAATAGGCAAACAAGTTATGCAATGTAAGGTGGGTGACATTTTTTGCGTATATACCCTGTATATTGATCCAAATCAAAACTTAGTATCAATAAGTACAATTTGAATTACATACATGTAAATGGCCAAAACATTCATGTTAGTCTCAGTCTATACAAATAAAGTCTTGTATACTTTTATAATAATTTACAGGTACTTTAACCAAGTTCATCTGTCATTTATTGCAAATGTTGTATCGGAATAGGTACTTGAATCTCACTGCAGAAAGTACATTATTCCACTCACATATGAGACAAAATCACTGAATATATTACTCCACTTCATGCTTACTTACATTCTTAATTCTAATTTGGGGAATTCTTCATTCTTCCATGAGTTAAATGTTTCTTAATCCAGGTATCTGTCCATTTTGCTTCCATATTCACAAAGTGTCACATACCCTGTACACGTAGCCAACAATATATATCGAAATCATGATGTGATATTGTATTTTAAGTAGACAATACAATTAAATGAAATGTACTTCATGTAGTTATCATTGCTCATAAAACTCTGTTCATTCTGCATATTTGTAATCTTAATAAGGTTTCTGACTTGTCTATGCAAAGGCTTTCCCCACTGCTATTGTATGGTCTACACCACAGTGAACTGATGAGACTTCACATGGCACAGCTACCTAAAATAGAACAATAGCAGGTCTTATCATATAATATATTAAAACAAGATATACAATTATTATACTAGGCATTAACATGCAAAATATCAGCACTTGCCATTTGTTACAGACACCGAGCGCCAGACACTGGACTCCAACCGCCGTCACAAAAAATGAGACAATAACAATATGTCACCACTTTTGGAGGTGACGCCTACTAAAATCATATGACTTTCATTTCTTACACCTTACTATTTAAAGCCCAGATAAACCTTACACTCGAGAAGGAAATGTAGCTAATTGGACCTTAATCTGAAGAGCCCAACTTTAGTAAAACTCAATTAATAAAAGAGTATAAACTTCGCACAGATCCATTTGTTGTAGAACAATACAAGGCATTAACATGCAAAATGTCACCACCATTTGTTACAGACACAAACCGCCAATTGCCGATCACCAACCGCAGTCACAAAAACCAGAGACCATAACAATATGTCACCACTTTTTGGTGGTGCCATAAACATGGAAAAATGTATGTATTTTTCTGTAATTCTCAAAGTCAATATAAAAAAAATATTCGATTTAAATAAAAAATAAATCACCTTCATTGGGAAGAACTGATCTTGTTTGTGGCCAAAGCCAAGTGCTCCAGCAATGTTCCTACCCCACATATACAGGTCACCTTTGTCTGGAACAAATATACAAAAATATTTTCGTAATCATCATATCCTAATGAAAAATTTGCACAAGTGGTTAAAATAAGTATTTTTTTAACTCTATCTTTCGTGGCTGTTTTGTCCTGAATAACTTAGTGGTCATGGTTTAAAAGGGTGTAAATATAGATGTCATCTTACTTGTTATTGCTGCAAAGTGATTGAGACTACATTGAAGATCCTTCACATGTACATCCTCATTAAACTCATTATTTCCAAATAAGGTCATTGGAATTTCTGTAGGAGTGCCTGTCTGTTGTAACTTTGGTCCTTTACCCAGAATTCCAAATCCCCACACAAAAACTTTGCCAGATTCTGAAATACAGTAGAAATATAAAGCTTTTGGAGACATCAATATGTTCCTGTGAGATGTACACTATATTCATATCAACCAATAAAAAAATATCAACCAATGAATAATGGATTTATCCCATGACAAGTATTTACTAAAATATAAGGGATGATGTCCAACTGATCAATATAACATAACACATCTTTGAATATTATATCAAACAAAATTTACATGTACATCACAGTACATGATCTTATAGTAGCCTATTGTGGAGATATTTACCATTAATTAATCCGCACATTGAACCAGTGGCACACACACGCTGTACACGGCCAACATGTTTGAAGGGTAGATGGCGTGGAATGTTCACTTGGGTCTTATCAGTTACTGACGATAACTGGTTGTACTCCGAGTTACCCCAGCCAAATATGTCACCCTTAGCTGGAAGAATTGTGAAGTATATTTTTATTATTTTTATTTTATTTATTCTCTTCTATGCTACAAAATAATCTAATCATGTGATGTACATTTTGGGGGAATTTTGAACATTTTCTTTCAACAGATGTTGTCAAGAAATTTTGTTTGAAGTTCTTAGAGGTTTTCAAAAGTACTTTATTTTCTTTATACTTATTGAACATTCCAAACTTGTAAAAATACTAAACATATTCAGACAATCTGTATATGTTGCTACCACCATACAGGAGCCTTTAAACATTTAAAATAACTGAAACTTTACTGTCACTATTCACAGGCTGGTATATAAAAAATTGTCCGCTGTGACGGAGCGTGCTATTTTGCATAGAAACACTAGGAAATCCACACAATTAATTTTTTTACTCATATGTTTTGCTATATCAAAGAAAATTACTGACTCCATGCAATGAATATATCATTTGCGGGTAACTTTAACTTCTGTTTGAAGTCCAACAACGCTAAGAGTAAAAGCTATTGAAAACGGCGTCGGAGTATCATACTCCAAAATGTACCATTTCTTTTATTTCTTTTTAATGGTACAATATAGCGACACGATAATATTTACATATGTTTTCAGCATTACTCTGAAGGTATTAATGAGATCTTTATGTATTGGGTATTTTTAATTTTTTCAATAAAAAATAATGTTTAAATTTTTTGTCCGCTGTGACGGAGCAGTTTCAAATCTGAAATACGTTAAGAATTTAGATTTATAATATATCTCTTTATAACTACACGTTAGAGGAGGGAGCGTATCAAATCTCTTTCGTAAAGTATTCTGAAAAATAAAACGAAATAAAAGTACACAATTCAAATTCTGAGATGCATATACGACCACTCTTTAAGCTTCTTTTCTCAGTTTGTACTGTAATCCAAGTTATGCATGGTAACTCATGAAAATGATAGTCAACTCTATTTCAGTATAGGGTATTTGCCTTTCGTTGTGCCTACTGTGGATCCATCACCTGACATGGTCATTTTTATGGTAACTTATATACAGTAATATTATGTGGTAAAAGGTTATACATCTGTCGGAATGCAGGATGTCTGTGCGCTATTTCGAATAAATTCATATTATCCCTATTTATGTTACGCGGTAAACACGATACAAAAATATGCCATATTCCGCAACGAATATGCCATACTAGTATTCACTTGCGGTGTATAACAGATTCACCTGTGGTATATGGCATACACACTAACCAATGAGAACGTGATACGGAAGTATGCAATTGTCAATTGCATCGATTGAACGAACAAGTAAAACTTTATAAATTATTATAATGATTACTGAATCAACAGTACAGTTTATCGAATACATCAACGTATGCAGAAGTATCACTCACCAATCTCACGTAATAAACTTACCCAATCAATCCAGGATTCATATATTAGTACTCGACGCACTGACATTATTGGTAATCCAGCGTAGTTTTACATTCAGAGTCGATTCTCGCAACCAATCAAACCAAGTCTTTCTGTATCACGTTTTTCACCTGCAGAATATGTCATCTTCAACTGCTGTGTATGGTATATTCCGCAAGTGAGTATGACATATTCTGAAGGTGAGTATCGGGTATTCACTGAATTCAATGCATCACATATTCACTGCGGAATATCGCATACTCACCTGCGGAATATGCCATATACCGCAGGTGAGTATGGCATATTCACCCGTATCCCAAATACCGCGCAACCATGAATGTATGCCATATTCCGCGTAACAATTTACACTACACGTGACATTCTAAGACATCTTGGCAAAAACGTATTCTAAATATTATGTTGAGTTTACACCATGTTGATTCATGTTGATTTCAGTACAAACCTCCGAAAAATGCTAAGAGTTTTTATATCTCAGATTTACATTACCCCAGATCTCCCAGAGGCTACTTGTCATAATTTAGGAAAGTGATTTGTGACGTTCTCTCTTCTTTTAAAAGGTATAATTTGAATCTTAAATTCTTAACGTAGTTCACAGTTAAAACTGCTCCGTCACAGCGGACAAAAAATGTAAACATTATTTTTTATAAAAAATATTAAAAATACCCAACACATCAAGATATCATTAATACCTTCAGAGTTATGCTGAAAACATATATAAATATTATCGTGTCGCTATATTGTACCATTAGAAAGAAATAAAAGAAATGGTACATTTTGGAGCATGATACCCCAGCGCCGTTTTCAATAGCTTTTACTCTTAGCGTTGTTGGACTTCAAACAAAAGTTAAAGTTACCCGCAAATGATATACCCATTGCATGGAGGAAGAAACTTTCTTTGGTATAGCGAAACATATGAGTAAAAAAATAAATTGTGTGGGTTTCTTAGTGTTTCTATGCAAAATAGCACGCTCCGTCACAGCGGACAAATTTTTCGATACCAGCCTGTGTAATGGGGCAGTTCCTCACCTGATACTGCTAGTATACAGTCAGCCTTACAGGCAATGTGAACAATCTTTTCTCCTTCTATATCTCCCTTAACCATGGTAGGGGTGAATTCAGATTGGTATGTCCCAGACCCTAGCTGACCATCTGCATTCAATCCAAAACTATAAACCTGCCCACCCTCAGTCAGCAACATGGTATGATCCAGACCACAAACAACCTAGAAAGATGTTGATTGATATTTTTCCATGGTTTAAACAATCTATGTGTATTTAATTAAATCGAACGATACAGGTATCGGCCAAAAGTGTTCAGAATAATAGTTGAACACATTTGAAACTTGACAAACTAACTGAGGTAACGTCTTAACATTTAACCCTAAATATTTCTGCTACATGTATATATTATTTTCATTAATAACTTTGAACATTTCATAGTATTATTTCACATGGTTACCTGCTTTATATTAGAATCTGGAGTGACAAGTTTATGGACAATTTGATTTCCTCTGTAGACCTCCCCCTCAACTGTAGGTCTCCCACATTGACCATAGGAATTGTTGCCAAGTGTATAGACTAAAAATATAAAAATGTCTGTCTTTTTATCATATTAATGTAGACATGTCCTTCAACCATGGGATTTGTTACGTTTGAAACTAACAGAAAGTAAAAACAGCAATTAAAATATGATAACAATATATTTATACTTTGAAAAACTAAATAATATAACAATAATATAAAGGAGGTTTAATACTTAAGTGATGTCCAATCAATGATATGGCTTATTCTTGTTGTCGATAAATGCTGTTGACGATCCTAGAGAATGTTCCAGATCACGAAATGTTTCAATAATCGTTGATAGTTCTCCAATGTTTGTAATAATCCAATAATGTTTGTTGTAATCCTATAATGTTCGTATCCAATAATGTTTGATGATAATCCACAAATGTTTATGATAATCCACGAATGTATATGATAATCCGTATATTGTGTGTGTTGTAATATATGTCCATATAAAGTCCTCAGGTTGTGTGTTTGTAGAGTTATAAATGTTCCCACAGTAGGTGTCTGTAATATTCCGCTTAGAAGATGTCCTTTGATCAACTTTGAAATTCTGCTTTATTTAGTTCCTTTGAGATGTCCAGTTATGATTACTTAATTATCTGCTAATGAGAGCCACTGTGCTGTTCTTTTTATAATGTGAAAGAATGATCCAGAAACGAATCTTCTGGAACTACATCTTGATTGGACATCTTTAGTGACATGATTAAATTTTAATGAATGGTTATAATTTCTAGAACTATCTGGATGGTCAAGGGTTAATGAGTCATTCAGTTCAGTTTTGTTTACAAGATACAGTGTATAATGTCATTGTGACCTTGACCAAAGATCTCTAATGAAGAATAGCTCAACACATACAGCAAGCATAGATTACAAATTAAACTATAGGTGAATATAGTAGAATATAATATACATGTGGCTCACTACTGTAACAGATTCAACCACTGACCATAGGAATTGTTTCCAAGTGTACAAACTGAAATGGTGTGCCTTTTTATCACATTAAAAATCAGACATACAAGGGGGGAAAATCCAGTTTGTCTACAACTACCAGATGGTATGTATTCTTATTACTATTCCAAATATTTTGTGAATGATTGATCAAAGATCCATATGTTACACAACAGAACAGAAAATGAGACAATTTCTGTCTTGTGTAGTCAGTTCATCTTATGCCCAGCTATCTCACCCTAAACCTTAAGTTTACACATATGCAAACATGATATTGAGGCAATGTGCTTCAAAGTCAAAGATTGTCTTACAATTCAAAGGTTACATTTCAATAACAATGGAAACTGTTTAATATCATGGTCATTAGAGGTCAATGTCATTCAAAAGGTCAAGAATAATACATTTTGTGAATTAAAATCAAAAGCTCAAGTATGGTACATTTTGTGAATTTTTAATTGGAACATTGATACTTTCATTGCCTTATTAGGTCATGCAAGGAAAACAGGAGATTTAATTACACTTCAATGGTTCCCCGCCAGTTGATCTTCAATGTGATATTCTTACCTCCTTCTTTATCTGTTAGTACAATTGTATGTAGTCTCCCACATGCTACCTGTGTCATTCTAGTGGTAGATGGTTCTATAAGAGGCAACTCAATGGGCACCGGCTCTATGATTACATCTAAAAGCCTTCCTGTTAAATAATAAATTAAAAACCATGGCTACAATGTATTAATAATGACAAAAACTGTATCAGTACAAAAATATCTAACAATTCATAATATTATGTATCAATTATCACGATCTAATGTCATTATAATTTTAATGGTTATCTCTGGCATGTTTATGCGGACTTCATTATTTGTCCTTTCAGTATGGTAAATTATTGGTTTATCAAACTTTATTTTGTAATTCTGTCCCCATATGTGAATTTTTCACACCTAATGTCAATTATTATAGAGAAAGTAAATTATACATCTACATGTAGGTAATTTTGTATACAATGACAACCACATTTGATGAAGGTATGGATCTGTGAGACACCATGACAACTGCCATGTCAGATTGCAATGTCCAAAATGGCGGACAAAGATTTGTATATGATTTGATTATCTTCCACTGCATGTTTCATTGCACACAGATTAAATTCCTTTGGTTATGGAACATACTGGTCAGTATCAAGATGTGGTAACTGCCGTTATATTTATCCTCTTATATTTATTAAATTCAGAATCCATCATCTTTGATGATATGAAAAAATGGTATATTGTGGCAATTCATAACCACATTTGATCTAAATTAGTATCTATATGATGCAGCATCAAGAGAACTTAATACATACAGAATTAATGCAGATAAGGTCGCATAAAATGAGATCCAAGTGATGAAAGATTTAATGCAGCAAAGGAAACAAAGGAATCTGACATTGCTGTTGTCAGGGTTTTCTGGTGTGATTATATGAAGTGCCAACTGCCAAACAAACAACAAACAAACCTGTATTCTTGGGGTATTCCTGGTATCCAAGCTGTGAGTCGAGATTAACACCACATCCCATCAACAGAGGACCATTTGGGCTTTTACCACACAACACTGTATACCCATAGCCAGTACCAACATCTGACAACTAAAACACAACACAATTTTAAACTAAAATAATGCATACTTTTGTAATTCATGGTTACTGTAGGTAATGGAGCTGTATTTAGTCAATTCTGTAGTGTCGCAAGATACAGTTCATGTACATTAATTACTGTACCTTTATGTCATATTTATCAAGGAAAGAGAGTCGTCTAGGCCTGCTGACAGTGTTTACAGTGCTCCTGTTTTTCTCTGGACGATGCAGCTGACGTATACCTAGAGCACCTGTTGTTGCATTGCCCCAGACATACACACGATCTGTCCTCTGATAGTTCTTTCCCAAATGCTGAAATACCGAATCTTCCTTTTCCTTCTTTCTCTTTTCCCTCCTTGAATTAAATAAAATTTAAATGAATCATTTTAAGTGCAAACATCTAACTTAACTTTGTCATTGTAAAATATAAGGAACAATGTAACTTATCATTGTATTTTGAATTAATGGTTTATAAATTCCTAATGGATGTGTAGTTATGCATGAGGCATGAAGAATTTAGTTTCAAATGTGACAGAATATCACTAATAGGTCACGCCAAAAATAATGTACATGTATGTAGTATGTCCAATGTACATATGAGTACATATTGCATTGGCGTGGCCCCCCATGACCAATGAAAATATAACCATAAGATAGAGGAAGAAAAGAGATTTAAAATGCTTTTTATTTGAAGCTTCTTCATGTAGCTCAATTTTGAAGGAAGTTACATCAATTTTTGTAAAATTCAAAATAAATCTTGATCTTTTTTTGGGTTGCTTATGCCACGATCACACCCCCATGACTGAAAACTGGCTACGCCCCTGTATTGTGAGTGTTAAATTCAGTGTCTCTGTGATAGCACAGATCAACAGAGTAATTCACAAGTAGAGTATGTTAAGGGTTTACTACACTTTAATAGCAGAGTTCAACAAATGTGGACTAGATTTATAAGAGAGACTGTTCTGAGAGGGTACACCAAATGCATTCCCATTTGAGATGAGTCATTAAAAATAAAATATAATCTGTACCTGTAGAGGTTTGAAGCATGACGTTGTCCACATTTGTTACATGAGTTCCCTGTCGTACGAAGTACAGATTGTACTAATGTTGACATCTGCTTTAAGCCAGCCATATTTGATTAGCTGTCAATACACCAGCCAATCGCTTAACAATATCTAAAAATAAGTGAATACTGTCAGCCCTCAATGAGTCATGTACAGTCTGAGCAATAAACAAATGAGTAGTGGATTTGCTGAAGTGAGGATTTCTAATGTTAAAAATTAGAGAATTTTCAAGATGCCATACATCAGAGAATGATAGTAAACATAATGTTAAATAAACAAATTTTAGGGGACATGTATCATCTAAACAATATTGGAAACCATGGGCTTCCAAACCACCATTGTTTTGAAGTGGGATGGAAAATCCACCCTCATGTATTCAAAATGCACAGTACTGTAAATGCTAGCATATCACGCCACTTAAATGTCAGCCTTAAAAACACATTAATCACTCCAGCTATAGCGCTGTGTGAAGAAGGCAGCTGGAAGATATGATGAAACTTGGCCATAGTCTAAACCTAAACTCCTGAACTTAAATCCGTATTTTCTCCATGTATGGTCTCTATCTGTCATCAGATTAATTAAGACAATATTGAGAAGTTAGTTTCTAGAACAGTGTGATCAATTTTGGTTCATTTCACTGAAGTGGTTATTCTTTAAGCTGCTTCTCAACTGAGCAGGTCATTTAGGATTGAATTATTTACACAAAGATGGTCACACTTTAGAACAAAAATACTAAAAAGTTTGACAGTGAAATAAAATTTTGTCAATTAGTAAATTTAAGAAAAATTAATTTGTCATATGTTCATTCGAAAATAAAGTTCGGCTAAGTTGAATTGACGGAGATACAGATGTTTGAAAACATATGGTATTTATATTTTAAAACTTTGTAAAGATATAATGTGATCAATATATGTAGGTAAGTTCAATTTCATCACTTTTTAAAAATGTCGGAAGTTTTAGGAAGGTATAGCAACCTTCACATACCTTAGCAAAAAGTTTTCTCTGCTGATTTCATAAGATGAGAGTGTTATGAACAATTTCTGCAATTTTCATTATTTTTCATAGTCTAATTCTTTAAAAAACAAACAATAAAAACATGACTTACAATAAGAAATGAAAGAAATCTATCAGATAGTTTGCCTTGGAGAGCATTTACCCATCATCACATTTTGTCATCTAAATGAGCTTATAAAATGTAATTGTACTAAATATTAATACTGAGATGTAGGGAATTAAATTGTCTTTTTATCTATGTAACTTTTAATGTCATTATACTCATAACTGAGAATATATTAAGAAAAAACTACTTGATGGTTTAATGTTAAAGCTGAGTTTCAGCAGTTAAGATTTTACTGCTATGAGAGCCAAGTAAACATTAATGTTAAGCCGCGCTATGTTAAATGCAGGCAATTAATCACCTTTGGTCTGGCATAGCCTGACATTAATGTGGAATAGGAAAACAGGATTGTGAATGCCTTTTCAAATATATCCGGGTTAAAATTAAATAAACAGAAATCAAAAGCTTTATGGTTAGGCAATGAAAAAATTGTGTTGAAAAACCAGTAAACATCAAATGGAACATCTTCAATTTTGCAAAGCGGGACAGTGTCGTTTATGACATGTCTTACTCGATTCACTAGCTCAGCTAGATGTAACTTCATTGATTTTGTATATAATCTAAAAAAAGTGTCACACGCACCTAGAACTCCTATTTAATAATTCTTATAAATATTCATACATAAGAATATTGATTATATTTAAGTTGAAACGTTGCTTATCTGGATAAGATATTTCAAAATTTCTTTTCGGAAAGAACCTCAAAGTCCGCAATTTATACAGCTCACTCAGCAGAAAAATGGAGGCCATTTTGAAATGGAATTCCACCTAGTTAAATTAAAATATATATCACAATCGATTAGGATATGAGCTGATATTCTGCAAATGTATGTGTAAAGGTATGTTTCATATATAATTATGCCATAATAACTGTGTGTGTGTCACCATGATTTACAAATCATGAATATCAGGGCGGTTGTAAACAATCACTCAAAGCCGGAATATAGAGAAGGCTTTGGACCTAAGTAAGACATGTTGATCCCTCAGTATTTTGTTCAAAAAAGTGGGCGATAATATAAAGAAAATTGATTAAACTCAATTTTTCCAAAGTATTATCTTGATAAGCAATAATAGAAATAATTTAATGATAACAAGGAATTCAGTGTACTTATTTCGATCAATAATACCTTATAAATGCGCCATAATTAGTGTAAACGTGTTGAATTTAGATTTTCTAATTTCAGAATTTTACCTCCACTTTGAAGATCATAAAGTACCCCTTGAATTTATCCAAATATATGGTTCATTCAATGGCATATATTGGCCTACCTATGAGTTATATCATAAAATTATTGAACCTTTTCAACAGAAGTCTATACCTCCATGACATATGAATGCAATTTTGAATAGTTCTATGACACAAAAAATTGAAACGGACTTAATAATCTCAAGGTCAAATAATTTCCATTCAAGAGGTCTTCAGGAAAATGGCAACAACAAATACTGTGAAATTTCTCCGCCGCTTTTCCGGTATATTGCAGAAGCAGCAGGCGTTACCCTTGCACAAACACAACTCAAATCTACAGAAGAGGACATTCTACTTGTATTCACAGGAACCATTTCACCCTATCCCCGGGAAGGAGCCAGAGCACTGCAAAGCAGCAGAAGCAGTCAAAGTTGTCCAATCAGGTTTGTTCACCTTCAAATGACATACTGACCTGACTTGTTTGTTTACAATACACCACCCAGAAAAATATTGTTACATCTTCCCCTTGTAATTTGTACACTCAAGATCATACAAAGTAGATTACAGTAGGCCTATAAAGGATGCAGATTTTTTCAATAAGAATTTGATTTCAAATCTCAAATCTAATAATGACAAATTCAGCCTTCTCAGGGCTAAAAGTACATGGACAGATGTATTGTACACTAGACTTACTTCCTGCGAAAGCTATTTGGATTTTGATATAATAGCTTTCCCACGGAGCATTCGGACAGCTGAATGATTGTGACCTTTGAAATCGAATTAAGTCGATCCGCAGCTTACTTTTGGTCTCTAACTGTGTCTTACATCAGTATCATCAATCCGTGTAAGTATTAGAGCGCTGAAATACTTCTTTTTCGATCAAGACTTGTAATTTGTTCATCGAGTGAATGTTTTTTAGACCTATTTCCAATATGGCGGTTTGCTAGGAGCGAGATACGCAACAAACGAAATGAATTTTGAGAATTAGTTAGGTTCGGACAACCTCCGGAGGTTTACGGAAATGTCCGAGCAGAAAACGCCATATTGGAATTTGGCAGTAAAAACATTCACTCGACTAACAATTACAAGTCTTGATCGAAAAGGAAGTACTTCAGCGCTCCAATACTTACACGGATTGATGATACTGATGTAAGACATAGTAAGAGACCAAAAGTAAGCCGCGGATCGACTTAATTCGATTTCAAAGGTCACTATTAATCAGCTGTTCACTTCCCCATTTGAGAGCCATAAGTTTCAAAATCTAACATGGCTCTCGAAGTGAGTAACACTAGACTAGTCCATGCACATGTCATCATCTCATATCAATTTTATTCCATAGGACATCGAGTATACATCCATGGAGTTGCAGCTACACCCATTCCATTGGTGGAAGCACTGGCCAATCATGGCATAGAATCAAATCTCCGGGATGTTGAGCTGTTACATATTCACACTGCAGGCCCAGGAACATTTGCGCAGAAAGAATATGAAGGTTTGCCTATATTTTGTAGCATTTACATGTACTGTAGTTTTGCTCTATCATTCTGGCGGACAATAAAGTACACTCACTAGGGGAAAGCAAATTTATGAAAAAATTTAAGTATGTTTGTTTACTGAAAAATGAACTGATTTTTTCAGTTTAAAATTCAGTAGAAATATACAATGAAAAAATGCTGACTTTTAATTAACAAAAAATGTACTGACTGTACAGGTAGCCAGAGAGCCTCCAAATTTTTTTGCATGCATACATTCTTTCTGGTTTTGTATGTTCTTGTATATTTACATGTTTTTCGATTGATCCAAAAAGTGCCTTACTCCCTTTTCTGATCCTTAAGATTGACATTTGCATTATCTTGTCTTACAAATCAGTTTAAAAATTATTTTGTTGATAGTCAGCATTGAAGTTTTATTATTACTAAGGAACCCCGACCTTTCCAACTTCTGAAGTGATCAAACTGTTATTATAAATGTAGATGACATGTGAGATCTAAAACTATTTCATCGAAAGTACAAACTTTTTATTGAAGCTACGGGTACTTTACATTACAGGAATATTTAGAAGCAACTCTCTGTTTATGGGGCCTAATGTTCGTGAAGCCGTGAATGCTGGGAGAGCTGATGTCATGCCTATATTTCTCAGTGATATTCCACATTTGTTTCGCAGGAGAATACTCAATCTTGATGTTGCTATGGTTTCTGTAAGTATAGAATACAAAGAGAACATGATGCATACTACGTTACAACTAAACTATGTGATATATGTATCCATTATTACCAATAGAATAAGGGATTTGCGTATTAGGACCTGTCGCAAAAATTTAATCAAATTCAGTTGTATGCACAATAAAAATATTAACCAAAAGGCAATAATTTGAATAATACATGTATGATTAAATAAGTGCATCATAATGGCTTTTTGTAGCCAGGCATTAGACAGGCAAGGCAGCTTCCTCGACAAAATTTTACAGAGTGATATGAATCTAGACATTGCTTACCTTTTCAAATTTGCCTTGTCTATAAAACCCTTGCAATGAATAGGTTATTGTGCTAATAAATCCATTAACAAAAAGCAAAACAGAGTATTACATCAACTGGAAAGCAGTAAGGGTAAAGTGCTGGCCCTGATACTAACCCTTGAAAAAATAGAAATAAATCTCATAAAATACTCAAATGTGAGGAATGGGATGAGTAAGAGATGAAAATTCTGTGGAAGGTATTTATATATGTTAGTGAGGGTCCAAAAGACCACAAGGGCTTAGTTCAAAACGACTGTTGTCACTTAACTGATCAACAATTTTGCTTCTCTCTATGACTGTATAGGTAAGCCCCCCAGATGAACATGGGTATTGTACGCTAGGACCCAGTGTGGATTGTACAAGAGCTGCAGTGCAAAATGCTAAAACCATTGTGGGTATGTTGATAAGTATTATTTCATCATTCCTTTTTTTATTTTACAACACAGCAAACACAGAAATACAGTACTTGTAGTACATTCATACTTTATAAACCTCAGGGCTCTGATTTTCAAACTGGTTGAATAAATGGTACAATTGTAGGCCTGCTTGAATTCACTTGTTCCATCACTGAGTTGTGTTTGAGAAAATTATTAGGATTGGGTGAATTTTCCTGCTTAATAAAATGACAACAAGCAGTTGCAGGCATTTTTATTTAGCATTCTTTTTAGATAACATTCTTTCCAGAATGTACTGTACGTATGTGACGTATTATTTGTCCTGCCATAATATTTGTGACATTTTATTGTTTTAAAGGTATGGTCAACAAGAATATGCCAAGGACATTTGGGGATGGAATAATTCACAAATCACACTTTGACTACATGGTAGAAGGGCACATGCCCCTTCCTGAGCTGTCCAAACATGAACTAGATCTGCTCATGGTTGATCTCCCCCTGAGTGATGATTATGTAAACCCTTCAGAAAGAGAGCAGAAAATTGGCAAAAGTATCGCAGAAAATCTCGTAACTGATGGAGCAACTTTACAAATGGGTATGTTCTTTTTATGACACTGAAAAAAAGCTACATTGTAACCTTGTGCTGAGGAGCACCTGGAACATGCAGGTGAGCAGGAGCATCAACCTTGTCATCGAAATTCCTGCGCATCCTTTCAACTTGAAAATAGATGGAATTTCAAATCTGACTTAAGATTTGAGATTTGACTTTCAATGACCTTCTCAAGGTCGAAAAAGGTCAAAAAGGTAGCTTTCAACTCGCTTCAAATTGACTATTTTTTCTTTTAAATCATCTACAAGTTCTCAAAAGTTCAAATGTAGATTTGACCTTCAATGACATTCTCAAGGTCAAAAGGGTCTTTTTTCATCTTGCTTCAAATTGACCAATTTTTTTTCAAAATCATCTACAAGTTCTCAGAAGTTCAAATCTGACTTTAGTTTTGAGATTTCATCTTCAATGACCTTCTCAGGGTCAAAAAAGGTGGTGACATTTTGTCATGTTAATGCCTTGTTGCTGATTGCATTACAAATGCTCATTTATGAGAACAATTAACATGAATTTCCAAGATACAAGTTTTCTTGTGTGATTTTACCTCAAATCCTTTAAGAAATTTTTTCCAGACTAAGTGCCTGTGTAGCTATTTGAATAATTTTAATAATTGTTTCATCATTGAGAATTCCATTAATTTCAATCTTCTTGTCTATCCAGGTATTGGCAATATCCCAAACATAGTTTTAAAGCATCTCCACAACCATAAAGACCTAGGTGTCCACACTGAGATGTTCAGTGATGGAGTGATTGACCTTGTGGAGAATGGAAACATCACAAATGCAAAGAAAGTTATACAACCTGGCAAGATCGTAGGAGCATTCTGTGTTGGCACTAGACGCTTGTATGACTTCTTGGATGACAACCCTTTTGTAGGTAAGGAATTGTGCTGATTCAAAATAAATGTTATCAAAACCTTTTGGTTGAACAAAACATGTACTTCCATTTAGCATACATTGAATTTGATGTGTATATCATATTGAAGCCTAAATGTGTGTAGGTTCATTGAAAAATTGATTGATGTTTGTTGATTCGATAGAAATAACGGAGACAATAATATCAGTTTGGCAAAACTATAATTATGGCTTTACAATATACATCAGAGAGTCTTAATTATTAGTCTTTTATAATAAAGTTGATATTTTGTGTCGACTTCAGGTTCAGATCAAAAACTAACTCTCTCCACAGCCTGCGCTGTGCTTATATACCTCGAAACAAATGAGCCATCTACTATATTTAACTTTGAGAAACAAAACTTATATACAATAGTGACATCTTAAAGTAGAATTGCTTCAATCAAGGGCTTTCAAGAGATATATTTCTACATTGCAGTAATGGGAGATGTGGCTCATGTGTGTAACACAGCAGTAATAGCACAGAATCCACGAGTGACAGCCATCAACTCTTGTATTGAAGTGGACATAACAGGCCAGGTCGTCTCTGACAGCATTGGAAACAAAATGCATTCTGGTATTTATATTACTGTATATCAAATTATACATGTATATATATTGATGTAGCTAGCTTAGATTAATTAAAGATCATTCACCCAAACTAGTTCATGTATTAAGTGAATCTTGTAAAAAGTTCAAATGTTAATTGTGTAACAAAACCAAAATCAGAGTACCAGAGTAATTTTAATACTCAAAATTATGCTTATTATAGAAGCAAGGCATTTCATGAGGCCTATTGACTCTTACCTAAATAGCAAAATATATACACATATATAATCTAATATTTTAGCATATTGTCTTTATTATTGTCTTCATTATTAAGAGGTCTGGACTAAAAAGTGCATCTCTAGTGAGCATTATGATTTCTATGGTTACCATTTACGCAACAAATACCAGAATCAGAAAAGATCTTCTTCTAAACATATTTATTTTTTTCTAGTAGTAAAGGAATGTGACAGTTGCAACCATAAATCATATTTGATGAATGTCGATGTGAAAACACATCCAAAAATCTGGATTTTGATGTCTTTGAAAACCTCATGAGAATGTTTTCTTTCAAGGTGTTGGAGGTCAGATTGACTTCATTAGAGGAGCATCACAAGGTTTAGATGGCTTGGGGAAACCTATATTGGCTATGACTTCTACAACACGTCATGGTCAGACAAAAATAGTACCCGACATTCACAAGGGTGAGGCTTTAAAAATGTTATATTAAAAAAATACAAACCGTGGATCCCATGCAGGCCTGTAGCCAGGGGGGGTTCGCCCCCCCCCCTGGCCAAAAATTCTTTCAAAAGCATGCAGTTTTCACCATTTTGAGCACTTCTCAAGTAATTTTAGCCATATTTGGGCCAAAATTGTCAAATAAGAACTCCCCCTGGAAATTTTTGAAAACTGAACCCCCCTTGGCAAATCCTGACTACGGGCCTGCCATGACTGAATCCAATTCCTAGTATTCAGAATATGTAACAAAATTTTGGATAAGTCTAGCTATTCATTGATTTACTAGAGTATTCCAGTAATTGTTTGTGTACATGTAAGTGCAAAATAAGCATATTGGCAATAAGCTACCTTAATATGAATACACTTCATTGTTTAAATTCTTGTTTCAAAGAAATCACACGCTTTTTACAGGAAATAAAAAATTCGTATTACAAAAATATTTCCTAGAAGGGAGACCAATTTGATGTTAAAAAGACTTGAGAGCATAACGAAAAAGTCATTGTTATTTAAACTTATTTAAATCTATGTGATTCTTTCAGGTGCGGGAGTGGTGACCACGAGGGCACACGTTCACTATATTGTCACTGAATACGGAATCGCAAATCTCTTTGGAAAAAATATCAGACAGAGGGCATATGAACTGATACGTATTGCTCACCCTGATCATCAAGAAGAGTTAGAAAAAGCAGCATTTGAGAAACTTAATATCATGCCAACTCCCTAAATGCTAAATTTAATTGAATGACAATTTGGATAAATTAGGGTAAAACCTTCTGCCATTGGCTGCCATTATATTTTGATATTTTTACTTATAGCTGCACAGTATATACTAATAAAAGCAGTTAGGGGGCTTGTAGATCCATAATTAGATGGCGCTGGGTGATGTGCTTACCAGCAACACTGGATAATTTAGCCTGTCTACACTGATTTTATGATTTGCTGTATAAAGCGCTGTTTCAAATCACATACACATGTACATAGCCTTGTCCAAGTCTGTCTCTTTTACTTATCTTGATTTCTATTATGACCGGCTGTAATAATTCAAGATCAGATAAGTAAAAAAAAATACTGACTTTGGCAAGGCTAACATGTACAATAAAACGAGTGTATGGAATTATAACACTTCTCAAATGAAGACCTTCTACACTTTCTGCTATAATAGCTTGATGGTAGATGTTTGCATGACATGACTAACTGTATTCTGAATAAGCCAGTTTCTAAAGTCGTTTACTATAGGCTTTTTAGCCAAGCCTTATGTTTTACATAATAGAAAGAATATCTGTTTAGATAGAAAGCCTGTGTATTAAGATAGAAAGCCTGTGTATTAAGATAGAAAGCCTGTGTATTTAGATAGAAAGCACATGTATTTACACAGAATGCCCATATATTTATTAGTACATAGAAAGCCCATATATATACATTATTAAATATGGGCATATTCTATTTCCTGAACCAGCTTATATGTTCTCTGTATTAAGCCACATTTTTGAGAGATACCATAGTAATATTAAAATGGTTTTTACTATTATACACTTTAAATATGATTATACATGTATCTTATATTTGTTAATTAGAATATTGGAAAACTTTTTCTGTTTGATATTAATTGTGCCATATTTTTGAAAATGCAATTGCAATGTCAGATTTAAATTCATTGACTGATTGTGCCATACTTTAAAAAAAATGCATTCATTGTATTTAAAATGAATAAGTTCTTTCAATATGTTGTCTTCTATCTCATTTATTTTCATAGTTAGATAAATAACTAAGCACAAGAAAGACAACAAACTTCTAAGTAAACAAGTAATGTCAGACTCATAAACAGGCATGGTGCAATTTGGTATATGAAAAAAAGATTTTAGAATACTTTGGTGCTGCAAAATTGGCCAAAATTTCATTTTGTACTGTGAAGACAAGTAAATCATGACTTTTACGTACATAATATTCAGATATTATAAAAGCTGTTTAAAAAGCTTTGTCTTTAACTTTTTATGATGGCATGATTTCAGTATCACGTAACCTTATAATTTAAAGTGAAGCTATTTGATGCAAAAACCAAGTATATTTATAATTCTCATGTTGATTTATAAAGGTTTCATATGGTTGTTATGATTCTAGAAGTTTGCAGGCTTTCTGATATTGCTGTTTTATGCTTTGTTAATTGTAATTTGACCAAGTTGATTACTTTTGGACAGCAAAATATATTCTTAATATAACTATGAAAATTAAATTAAAGCTCCATAAAATGGAACTTGCAATGAATCTCCATAAAATGGAACTTTGAGTTGTATGATGTACATGTACAGTGCATGTCTATATGTATAGTATGTGACGTGTACTTTAATTAATATGTTTCAAATTGTGTAATACTAAAATATATAATTATTTTGCAAAAAATCAACAAATTTTGTTTTTATGGCTTTCTGTATTCTTCTTTCTCTTGAAGTCATGGATAAAGAACGGGGCGTCTCAAATATCAATACATTTCTTTTTCATTTAAATGAAAATCCTTGTAAAATGTTGGAATAGATGGTGTTGTCATAAGTTTGCAAGATAGGATAAAGTTGCAGCAGTAATGGACAGAGTGAAGAAGAGGGATGTAAATGTTTCAAGAATCATGTCAATTTGTCCCTTACCATCCAATATTTAATATCTGAAAATAATGTACTTGGAGGGCACTTGATTCCAAATTCACCAGGATCGAATATAGAAATATCCCTCCTTTCAGGTATTACTTTATAATCTAGGTACATTTATGTATTTTTATGCAAAACTGAAAAATGTGGAATGTATGTATTGAATGTTTTTATCGCACCTTAAGGTGCTATATTGTAATCAGTTCGCCGGGCGGTTGGGCGGGCGGGCGTCCCGAATAATCTTGTCTACAGGTTTCCAGCCAAACCGTTTGAGGGATTCTTTTGAAATTTTCAGGGATGTTTCTACCTATGAAAGTTTAGAACTGATTAGTTTTTCGGCATTCTGGGTAAATGTTAAGGCGGCCATTTTGGATTTTCCGTCCTAAAATCTTGTCTGTCAAGGCTTGTCTACAGGTTTCCAGCCAAATCATTTGAGGGATTCATTTGAAATTCTCAGGGATGTTTCTACCTATTAAAGTTTAGAACTGATTAGTTTTTCGACATTCTGGATAAATGTTAAGACGGCCATTTCTGTACAAGGGTGCGATATTGTTCACCGTGTGTATTTTTCTTATTCTTAATAAAATATCACGCAACGACTTTTATGTCACCACCAAAAAGTGGTAACATATTGTTATGGCTTCTGTTTTTTTTTTGGCTGTTGGTGGTTGGCGGTTGGCGTCTGCAACAAAATCTTATAACTTCCAATAACTTAACAAATTCTGTTTAGACTGACTTCAATTTTTTCAAAAGTTTTAAGAAGTTCAAATCTGACTTTATATTTAAGATTTGACCTTCAATGACCTTTTCAAGGTAAAAAAGGATTCTTCAACTTGCATCAAATTGACCAATCTTTTTTTCAAAATCATCTACAAGTTCTCAAAAGTTCAAATCTGACTATAGTTTTGACATTCATTTTTTCTTTATCATCTACAAGTTCTCAGAAATTCAAATCTGACTTAAGATTGAAAATGCCTTGTTCAACAATACAGTGTACAATTGTTGACCTCTCCAGAGGTCAACCGGCAAAATTGTATACAGAGACTGTAAACCGAGAAACTACTGTTTTCACACGTTTCAATCTGATACAACTATAGTTGGGGATGTGCAGAATATTCATTTTCTGTAAAAACTGAAGAATCTGTTGAATCTGAGGAATCTGATTTTGGGATGCGCAGAATATTCATTTTCTGTAAAAACTGTCGAATCTGAGGAATCTGATTTGGGGATGTGCAGAATATTCATTTTCTGTAAAAACTGAAGAATCTGTTGAATCTGAGGAATCTGATTCTTAGATATTCAGAATTTACATTTTCTGTAAAAACTGTAGAATCTGAGAAATCTGATTTTGGGATGTGCAGAATATTCATTTTCTGTAAAAACTGTAGAATCTGTTGAATCTGATTTTGGGATGCGCAGAATATTCATTTTTTGTAAAAACTGTCGAATCTGAGGAATCTGATTTTGGGATGTACAGAATATTCATTTTCTGCAAAAACTGTAGAATCTGTTGAATCTGAGGAATCTGATTTTTGGATGTACAGAATATTCATTTTCTGTAAAAACTGAAAAATCTGTTGAATCTGATAAATCAGATTCTTGGATGTGCAGAATATTCATTTTCTGTAAAAACTGTAGAATCTGTTGAATCTGATTTTGGGATGCGCAGAATATTCATTTTTTGTAAAAACTGTCGAATCTGAGGAATCTGATTTTGGGATGTACAGAATATTCATTTTCTGCAAAAACTGTAGAATCTGTTGAATCTGAGGAATCTGATTTTTGGATGTACAGAATATTCATTTTCTGTAAAAACTGAAAAATCTGTTGAATCTGATAAATCAGATTCCTGGATGTGCAGAACATTCAGATTCTGTAAAAACTGAAGAATCTGAGGAATCTGATTCTCGAATGTACAGAATATTCAGATTCCATAAAAATTGTAGAATCTCTGAATCTGAGAAAACTGATTATGGGATGTGAGACTTTTCATTACCTTTAAAAATATAGATCTGAGAATTCTGATCCTGGGATAATCAGTATTTTCAGATTCTGTAAAAAACTGAAGAATCTGTATGGCAGAATTTTCAGATTTTCAAAAACTGAAAACAGTGCCATTTCTGGACAATGTTGCCCGAAGGATAGAGATGGAGATGGCGTGGGCGTGGCTTACCACGATGGTTGATGTCGAGTCTCGCATCATACGAATGTAATTTTAGGCGATCTTTTTGCATGGGGTGTATGACGGCACTCGGTTCTGTGTAGCATGTTTTACTCTGTATGACTCGATTGCTCCCGAGTTGTCCTTTTAGACAATTTACAACCTACTAGTATTTGAGCAGTAGAGGGGTTGTTGCTAAGGTACCGTTCGCCTAGACACATAAATTAAAGCTGAACATACAAACAAAACACTCGATGTCAAAGTCATTTAAAGCCCTCGAAAAGGCCTACATGACCACGGCCATGTAGGCCAATATATCTGACATTTTTAAATTCGAGTTCATTATGATTTATATTATGATGCTATACTCACTGGTCAGTATCAAGCGAAGGTTACGACCGTCACATTCGCATTTAAGATGGCGGACGGAAAGTGTCGATTTCGATATTTTTAGTTTTCATCGTCGGAATTCAACTACCATATTTTACGTAATCCTTTGACCATTTGAAGTTTGAACTAAATCCGACTTATTCGCTGGGGTATGATCATTTGTTCATATTATCGTGTGTGGGCGCCATAGTTCTACGTGACCGTAGAAATGAAAAAAGTTATCCATGTTTTAAATTCTACGGCGAGCCTACGGTCAGTAAAAACTGGATATGCCAAACGGAGACCGCAGATTTCCTACGCTCGTCGTAGAAAACTGATATCAAGGAATTGCGGTCGACGTACGGTCGCCAAAGAGCAATGTGACAGCGTTCTCCATGTCCGTATGGCGTGATCTATCATTTTGGCGTAACTCCTGTAACTCCTATATACGAGGATATAGGATATATATATATTATATATGTAACTCCTATATTATCCTAGATAAGATGCGAGTAGAAATAATCTTGATTTACGTCATTAAAAATTCAAAATTCAGTCAATCTGATGTCATCACAATTAAAAAGAAATAAAAGAGAATTGTACATTTCGGAGTATGATACTCCGACGCCGTTTTCAATAGCTTTTACTCTTAGCGTTGTTGGACTTCAAACAGAAGTTAAAGTTACCCGCAAATGATATATTCATTGCATGGAGTCAGTAATTTTCTTTGATATAGCAAAACATATGAGTAAAAAATAAATTGTGTGGATTTCCTAGTGTTTCTATGCAAATAGCACGCTCCGTCACAGCGGACAACTTTTTCGATACCAGCCTGTGATATTGACATGCGTGAATCGACGCACAATGCTATCTTTAGCAGTTTATCATAAATCATTAAAACAATGTATTTCACTTCAAACCATCATTGAGTAAGTTTATTGGCGCTGAATATGTTATGTACTGTCATCGACCATAAATATGGACAAATTGTGTCAGTTTGACACAGTGACCTGATTCGTGAGGGTGCGATGGGGTATAAAAGAAAAGATTTACGCCCATTCCCGCATTCTCTGTTTGACAGCTCACTTGTGATCGACAATGCTGAGTTTAGTGAGCATCGTTTTGTTGCTGGGGATCTCCCAAGCGCAGACTGACTGGCCACAGATGAAAGAAAGAATAGACACATTTGTAAATGAGATCATTGATTGCAAAGGGAGGGTCGGAATGAATCTGGCGATTGTAAAAGACCGCGAAACTCTATATACGACGGGGTACGGCTATGCTGACTTGGAGAATCAGGTTTCTAATGATGGAGAGACGATACATTTGTTATTTTCCATTAGCAAGTCAATCACTGTCACTTTGTTTGCCACGTTGATAGAGCAGACAGGGTAAGAACAACTCTGCAAATATAACATAATCGTACATAGTTTTTCTGTCTCTACAAAATCAAAACACACCGTACGGCTTCCGTAGTAAATGTGACTGCTGCTGGCCGTAGACGGTTTCAACGGTAGCAGCAGAAGTTATTAGCCGTACAAATAATATACCTTTATGGTAGCCGTAGCAAATACTACTGAGATTTAACCAACTTACTAACTAAGGTTTTTAGTAACTTACTAAGTAGCTAGGCCTAATACTATTAATTCACTTTCTTGATTGGTTACTCACAACAGAATGAAAAAATAATTTTGTGTAACAGTTCTGTGATATTCCGCAACAAAATACTTAAGTCGTTCAGTGGGAAATGAAATCATGTCACACTTTATGATGATCTCCGTCCACTCCATTCGCATACAGTTTAAGCGTGTTTTATAGCGAACTACCTGTAGTTTGGTGTGACCTAGTGGTTAAATTAATATATGGATCTGAAATCAAAGATGTTTGATTCGCTGGAATCAACAAAAAACCATAATGTTATGTAACGAGCCTCTATTTATTGTGAGATATTAAAGTTGTGCTGTTCTATTTCATAGAATATCGTGGGACTCGTTGATCACAGATCTGTTGCCGAATTTCCGCTTTCGAGATGAGGAGAGAAACAAGGGGCTAAAGTTGCGAGACTTGATCGGCCACGTGACAGGAATTCCCGAGGGCCTTCCCACAACTTTTGATACAAAGGAAGAGTTTGTCGAGTAGGTTTGACGGAAATAGTAAACCCACACAATGCAGAATATCAAAGTAAAAACTCATAGTAAAAACTTATAGACATAAGCCTACTAGCTTATTAATCTTATTGAGTGAAAACATATTACTACCCGTAGATTCAAATGTAAATGATCAATGCCATGGGACCCAAATGGACGAATATGCAGTCAAGGCAACTTGAACTGGGCCTCATCCGAATTTTACATATTCAGGATTATGTGAATACCGTGTTCTGATTGTGTGGAAATTGATACACTATACCGTCCTAGCTAGCTGTGTGTGAAAATTAGATAGCATAGCATATTTTGAACAATTATCGTTTCCTTTTGTCTCTAAACGTTATATTTTCAGGGTTATCCAATGCACCGAACCATTGATGTCGTTACGTGAAAGTTTCTGCTATGTTGACAAAAATTATTTCCTTGCTGGTGTTATACTTGAACATCTGACTGGTAAATCCTATACACAATTGGTGAATGAACGAATATTTGCCCCATTGAAGATGAACTCGTCATTTCCATCAAATGCAAAAAGGTTCGATGACTCGGTTGGCAAGTGGGCTTATGGTTATTTTAATTTCAACGGCCTCTTCATCCCTTTCAAAAGTCCAGGAAGTGATGACGAAGTCACGTAAGCATTTCATATGTTTGCTATTTCAAGTAAAATATATGGACGTTAAAAAGATAAGAATGCAATTCACAGTTACAGTAAGTTTTGCGTAAAAATAAAATTTTACAAAAATTGAATCGTATGATGAGATTTTAGGTATATTTAGACTTTTCTATTTACATAAAACATGATCCAAAAATATCATGCATGACTAGCCTGCTTATGTAGTACGTAAAGCCCAACATACACCAATGGGGCACTGTGGTACCTCAATAGACTTAACATTGCTTAATTGGGACCTCGTGGGACTTCATGGGATTTTGTCCCATGGACTCCGTGAGACTCCATGGAACTTTGCTTCAGCTTGCCCTATCGTTTCCCATGAGGTTCCACGTGGGACTCGATATTTGAGGTAGTATGGGGCAAAATCCCACGAAGCCCCATCGAGAATGAACATACGTTCATTCTTTTCATTGGGCATCGTGGGTCATCATGTGACATGTTTGTCAAGTGACTTGGGATCAAAATGGACGCGGCAAAACCTTCTAAACTTAACTACATCATTTCCGTGGGACTCGAGGGTGCATGGTGAAATTCGATGGAAATTGATTGGGTAAAGTCAACGAGGTCTCCGTGGTATTCTGTCTATCAATACATTTTCTTCTTTGCCCCTAATGTCAACTTCTAATCCATAGGGATGACCTGATAAGTTATGACAAAACTTCTAGAATATTCGCGGGCCTCAAACAGCCTTTGATCGTATTTGCAGTGAATTAGGAGCGCCAGCCTATGGAGCAATGTCAACGGCAGAAGATATGGCGGAGTATATGAAGTTCCATCTTGGAGCGTATAGAAATGACGGATCCAACAATCCAGTTGTAGACGCTGAGATATTGAGGGAAATGTACAAACCAAACCAAGCGATCAATCTTTTCACAGCATTTCTTGAGATTGACGGTCTGGATGATTTGCAAGAAACGTGGAGAATATATGACTATGGCATGGGATTTTGGATTGGTAATTATAGAGGTGAGTAGAGCACTGAGTGATGGAGCAAAGTTCTTTTTTCCTCATGCGTGGAAGTTTCATGCCTTCCAACCTATTTCATACCATTTGAAAGGTCGTGATGAGCTTGATGCAATTCAAAAGTCAAATTATATACTGGTTCTGTTCAAATACTCATCAACATGTCATCAGCAATATGTAGCCTCACGCGCACTAAGGTAAAGTGTTAGATTGAGGGAAATAATTATAATTGGGTCAATGGAAACACCATATGAGAGGGTGATAGTCTTGATAGAGCTACCTGGGGGTCATAATTTACACGCTATTTACACTATACAGATCATTCCAAGACAACTCCGCCGGGAGCACAAAAGCACTTTTCGTTCGTGTATTTCGTTTAGCGCAATACTGGTCCTAGCCAAAACCGATGGATTTACACTTGCTACATGTATTTAGCCTTGCCCAAGTCGGTATTTTTACTTATCTGATCTTGAATTATTACCGCCTTGTACAATCATAATAGAAATCAAGACAAGTAAAAGAGACCGACTTGGGCAAGGCTACATGTATTAAATGTACTTGTATTTAAGATGTCTTAGACGTTACAAAGCGTTTTGCTAAGACTACATGATGTAGGGTCCAAAATGTTTTGACTGAGAGCGCAGGCCCGTAGCCAGAGGGGGAGCTGGGGGAGCGGAAGCTCCCCCCCACTGGCCAGAAATTCTTTCAAAATCATGCAGTATTTCACCATTCTGAGAATTTTTCGCATGATTTTTAGCCAAAATTGTAAAAATATCCCCCCCTGGAGAGAAGCTCCCCCCCCTGGTAAAAGCTGGCTACGGGCAAGGAGCGGTCAGCCCCCTCTTATCTATCCGGTTTGCGAACCTTGGATTTAAGAAAATGTCGGATTTACGCTACAATCTAAAATGTTTTTTAGAGTGGTAGTGTAAATCGCCGGGAGTTCACTTAACTGTATATAAACCTTGACGGGGATCCTCGGCGCACATGGGGTACCCTTTTTGGTGTAAATCCAACTAAATCACTGGTGATCCACTCAATTAGCCTACGCTGGTTACCAAAACGGTTCGAATTTTTCTTTTTTCCTTATTTCACGCGTTTTAGGCAGAATCCTCACGACCCCCCCCCCCCCCGTTTTTTCTCACAACGTATATCAGTATCATATATTTTAGAAAATGTTCATGTTTGCGAAAAAGTACAGAAGCACTCGTTGCCATAAGTCGCGCCCTCAAAACCCGGGTTTGCCGTCATCCAAACCCGCCTTTGCAAAAAAACGAACGGTGCATTATTTGACTCGTTCGTGTTATTTTCGAGAGTTTTCAAACCAGAATTTTCATTGCTTTTATTAGAAGGGTTCCTCGTAATTAACTCTTAACTATGGATATGTTGACTTAAATGCAACTGACTTTTAAAGAGATGTTTTGCGCAACTAGTATGATGAACAAGCTCACTGGCGGATCTGGGGGGGGGGGCAGCCCCCCCCCCCCCCCTCCTTGGGTGGGCCCAGAAAAAATTAAGCCCCAAAAAGCCCAAAACGAGTGGGCCTTTTTGGGCATTACTGGGCCTTTTTTACTGTTTTGTCAGCCTTGAAATTTGCACCCCCCCCCTCCCCCTTTGTTGGTTTCTGGATTTGCCCCTGAAGGCAGTGGCCCTGAAGGCAAGGGGGGATTTTAGTCTGTTAAAAAATTTCTTAGCTTGCACCCTTAAAACCAAAAATTGGGTCCAATTTTTAAAACAAAGTTAAGGCCCATTTTTGATAAATTGGCCAAAAATGCCCTATAAAGGCCAAATTATGCCCAAAATACCCATTTCTTAAGGCCTTCCCAAAAAATTTGGGTCCAAGAAGTTAAAAAAATCTGGGGGGGCAGGTTCTAGTGTTTTTTTAGTGCAATTTGTAAATACATTGCCAGGTTTGTGAAATTGATTAATTTTAGCAAAATGAAGTATATCTGTTGGCACAATCAAGCACAATTGTCGCAATCAATCTCTATCTAAAATCACTATATCATGTCATGCCATATCATGATCAAATATCTTCAAGAGATCTTTTTATTGGATCTAGTAATGCAAATGAGGAGTTGTACATTTAAAATTGAGTCATGTTTAATCATGTTAATGGGAATGAATTGAAGAGATGAAGAGAACATTAACAAGTAAATACAATATCAAGTCATTTGGGAGTTGAACCCAAACCAAAGAATATTACTTCCTTGGTGAAGCCCACACAACTTTGAACAATATTGTAAAAACACATTTATGTTCATTTTTGACAAACTTGCCCTCTGCTTTTACAAGGACTTGGGACCTTCTAGCTAGGCTAGGTAGCATTACAAGTTTGTCGGTCTTCACTCTTCACTAAACTTGGACACTCTATTGCTTAGTGGCTTTGCCGTCCATCTTGTTCTTCTCCACTCTTTTCCTATAGGATTTTGTACTCCTGGGTATCGCGACTTTAGGAACAAAGGCCAGATTAACCAGGACACAGCTAGTCCCTGGAGTAGGAGCAATCATAACATACCTTGGAGCAGGAGCTGGAGGAGTACTTGCACTGGAGGTGAATGAAATCAAGTTGGAAGTTGGTTGAGGTTGAAAGGCAAGAGTATCAGGAAGAATCCTCCTGTTCACTCGTGACATTCCTTCACCAGCTGTGTTCTTGGGAAGATCGAACATGTGGGGATCATCCACGTTGGCTGAGGGCAATGCTGCCACCTTCTTGTCCTACGGGAAGGGATCTGCTGATGAAGCACTTGCACTTGACAGGGGTATCCTATCCTAGAGTGTTTCACCAGTTTCAACTAATTTTTCAAATCAAGATGGAGTTTTGCCTAGTTGGTCTCCTGGTAAGGAGACAATTTTTGTGCTTGCTTTCCTCCACAAGGAGATCAACTGGGCAAAACTCCATCTTGATCTGAAAAAACGTTAACAAGACACACAGTGATAAATATCGCACTTTGAAGAGCAAACTGGCCACCATGCAATTTACCCAGCATGGCCAAAACCTAATCAGACCTTGGCACTAGTCTGCTCTTGCATCTGTAAACATTTCAAGTTGACAAGGTTAGCGGTTTTCCTGCAATTTTGATGACAAGAATTTATTTGTAGTCTTGAACTTTGGGAAAATTTAGATAACATTGTTTGTGACCTAATTTGATGACCTTCGACCTTGAAAATTTCCTAAATTTAAATCCAAAATATCAATTTAGAAAATCAACTTTTTTGACCTTTTCAAGGTCACTGAAGGTGAATGAAAGGTCAAATCTGTTACCTAGTTTAATGACCTTCACCTTCGACCTTAAAAATTTCACTTTTTCAGACCTCAGTAGGTGTTTTTTGTAATTAAACTGACCTAAATTTAAATCCAAAATATCAATTTAGAAAATCTACTTTTTTGACCTTTTCAAGGTCACTGAAGGTGAATGAAAGGTCAAATCTGAAATCTAAGGTCAGATTTGAACTTCTGAGAACTTGTAGATGTTTTTTTTTTTAAAAATTGGTCAATTTGGAGCAAGTTGAAAAATTAAAAATGGCCGCCAAATTGAAAAATTCAAAATGGCCACCATGTAATTTAGCCAGCATACCCAAAACCTAATCAGATCTTGGCAATAGCCTGCTCTTGCATCTGTAAAAAATTTCAAGTTGAACGGATAAGTGGTTTTCCTGGAATTTTGATGACAAGATTTGTTGAAAAATTCAAAATGGCCGCCACGTAGTTTACCCAGCATGCCCTTAACCTAATCAGATCTTGGTACTAGTCTGGTCTTGCATCTGTAAAAATTTCAAGTTGAACAGGTAAGCAGTTATCCTGGAAATTTGATGACAAGATTTGGTTTATGTGCCGCCCGCCCGCCCGCCCAACAGCACAAGACGACGACACTTTTTCAAAGTGCGATAAAAAGGGAAACACTCTAGGGTATCCCCTGTTCTGTCCTATGTCATTCCTTTCATGTCTATTTTCTAAAAATCCACAAAGTGTACACTTTATTTCAGGAAAACTAAAGATATTTAAAATAATCTATTATTTGGGAGAATTTAAACATTTTTCACTCGTTTTTGCATTTTGAATCTGTCCTATGTCATTCCTTTTATGTCTATTTTCTAAAAATCCACAAAGTGTACACTTTATTTCAGGAAAACTAAAGATATTTAAAATAATCTATTATTTGGGAGAATTTAAACATTTTTCACTCATTTTTGCATTTTGAATCCATTTTAACTTCACCAATTTATAACATATCGTGAATCTTCTGGGAATATCGTATTTGGAATTGTAAGGAATAGATTGGTAGGTCAACTGTACATGTTGCTAGTAATTTTTTCATCCCTATAGATCTGATTCTGCCTTTAAGTACAGCAACACTCTCCTTCCTTTTCTTATCATCAATCCTGAAAAATAGTGTAATGTAACATTAGACTGAATGAATATTTTAATATATCGGTTGATAAAAAAAAAACTAATTTGCTACAATATCACAATTTACTCTAGATTGTGGCTACAGAGTTGCGGTATCATTTTTCAACATGTTCAATGAACAATAATTCATTATTTTTTCTTTAAAATTAATGTTTTTCAATGCGAAAGACTGTAATTGGTTTAAATGAATGATGTACTTCCATAAAGTCAATGTGGCATTGTTGATGTGAAACATCTGAATCTGTGTTCTGCTCATAACATCTGCATCTTTCACTACCTTTCTTCTAATCTCATTGTAGGATTTTACAATGAGGTTCAACCTCATCTCCTTCACACCAGCCACCTGGGTGGATCCAGGGTGAATTTCCAAGAGGAGTCTCATCACAGCCTCCATATATCTGTTGTGGTCTGGTGATCTGGCTACAACACCTTGGGTCAATAATGCCCTGAAAAAGAACAAGTGATGAGTTTAAGGATGGCATTTAACTTTAACTAAGAATGCAAAAATCTACGATGTATAAAACACACCCTTGGTATACGCAGCTAACGAAAATTGACCGGTACGGTCAAAAGCTGGACTGGTACGGGTTAACGTTTTTATTTGAATTTAAAACAGCCATAACTTGCTCAATATTGACTTCCTCGTGTCTAATTTGAAATATATGATGCCTCCCGATGCTTTTAAGTACCCCAATTTTTTACAGATTTTTAAACGGACCAAAACTCTCTAAATGCGCATTTATGCTCTTTTCTCTCGAGAACGACTGTCTCATTTTCACGATAACTTTTATTTAGTACTTCTGACATATAAGATCTATTTTTCCCCATCAAGGTATGATGTAAATGACATGCTATTTACATCTTGTGAGTTTCAATGACACGCGTTTAATTTTATAAAAAATGCCAAACTTTGTGACAAAGAATTTCATCACCTATTGCCCAGAACTGGTCCGTCTTCTCGCTGCAAGCAGATTGCCCCGAACCGGTCCGTCTTCTCGCTGCAAGCAGGATGAAATTCTTTGTCACAAAGTTAGGAAACATACTTATTTTCATACTAGGAAACATACTGTAACAATTATTTTTATACCTCAATCAAACATTTAAACACTAATATATTCACTGTAACAGTGAATATCTTTCAGTGTTTGAATGTTTGATTTCTAAATTTTGTTATACGTACGTACATGCTAGAAATAAAGTTAGAGATCCTACATATTGTGGATGAAAAAAAATTTTGCATGTGTAAAAACTTGAAATAATACTGGGGCCATTCAGAATAATGCTAGAAATAAGACTAGAGCTCTTAACAGCTCCAAAATATTTTTAGCATGTACGCACATATAAGAATATTGCTCGGGCTATTAAGAAAATTCTTACTGCGATTTCCCTGAAATGTTTTACATGTACGTACATAAGAAAATGGATCTATATTACTTCCTGCGAAAGCTATTTGGATTTTGATATAATAGCTTTCCCACGGAGCATTTGGACAGCTCAATGATCGTGACCTTTGAAATCGAATTAAGACGATCCGCGGCTTACTTTTGGTCTCTAACTGTGTCTTACATCAGTATCATCAATCCGTGTAAGTATTGGAGCGCTGGAGTACTTCTTTTTCGATCAAGACTTGTAATTGTTAGTCGAGTGAATCGTTTTACTGCCAAATTCCAATATGGCGGTTTCTGCTCGGACATTCTCGTAAATCTCCGGAGGTTGTCCGAACCTAACTAATTCTCAAAATTCATTTCGTTCGTTGCGTATCTCGCACCTAGCAAACCGCCATATTGGAAATAGGTCTGTAAAACTTTCACTCGATGAACAATTTACAAGTCTTGATCGAAAAAGAAGTACTCCAGCGCTCCAATACTTACACGGATTGATGATACTGATGTAAGACACAGTTAGAGACCAAAAGTAAGCCGCGGATCGACTTAATTCAATTTCAAAGGTCACTATTGATCAGCTGTTCACTTCTCCGTTTGAGAGCCATAAGTTTCAAAATCTAACATGGCTCTCGAAGTGAGTAAGATCTATATACTTAATCAACATCCGGGGTCTTTTCTTGGAACCCTTTAACTTCTTCATCTCTATGGCCTCATTGCCCTCCAGAAATGCCATAAGGTACTTGACCAGGGTTGCCTTGTTCTGACTCAGGGATGCAGGAGTTGCACACTCTCTGTCGACAGATTCTACAATGTATGCAGCATACCCAAAGAATTCTTTACAAGCCACTTGAAGGTCTGGCCTCTGAAGGCAGCAAACTGTAACATGAAGTGAGTGAGCCAATCCCACTCTTCCTTCGCACCAGGTCCAATTTTCTTTGCTTGTGCCAGCACCTCAGCTAGGGCCATGGGCCTCCCAACAGGCTTCCTCGCCTTATTGACTTGGGCAGCTTTTGCAGCTTTCTTGCTCAGACACAGCTTTCCACTTGATAGTCTCAAGAAGAGGCTAGACATATTCTGAAACATACCCCCAGGTTATTCTTATTATTTGAGGGCTCTTAGTTCTACATTTCAAAAGTCTGAGAAAAATAAACATCAAAACTACGACTCGAAACCCGCATATATATTTTTTGAAAAAATGAAAGAATGTTTCCTGCTACAATGAAGCTGTCTATACCCTCTCAGTTCGTCAGAAATCGCCGATGAGTTTTCAAAGTACCAGTAGATCAAAAAAAATCCGTTTTTTGAAATATTTCAAAATTCGATCGATCATTTCGTAGAGAAATACTCCGATTTTAGAGTGGAAACTTACCAATTCTCGTCTCTGGGTAGATATTCTTCAAAATATATCATGGTTTTGCTATGAAAAGCAGTTATCACGGAGTAAATCCATCTCAAAGTACGCATTTTCTTCATTTCAAACTAGTTGAAAACAAAGATGGCTGAACTATGAAGTGACAAGTTAGAGTAGAAGGGGTCTTTTGACTTTTGGTATTTAGGCCACTGATAAAAATAACTGATTTTCATGTGTTTAACATTTACTAAGTACAAAATACCAGGTATATCATTCTAATTAAGCACATTTTTCTATTTCTTAGCCTCATTAAACGCTTATTTCGTTTGGAATGCCCTTAAACCCTGCTGAACCCTGGTCTGAGAAACAAAGATCTAAATAAGGCAAAAGAGCACCCGGGTTCACTGTTAAACCTCCTGCTCACTGTAGTATGAATCATGAATGTACTTTCACACAGGGTTTAACAGAAAGAAACAGTGAACCCTGGTCTAACGAATCCGTGTTTCCAGGGTTCGCCTAGCATGCCTTCGACTCTTTCTCAAAAAGTAGCTCAGAAGACAACAGAATCGTCGATTTAATTGTGAAGAATTAAATCGACGATTCTATGTATTTGTTCGCACATATGTACATTTTCTTAAACATACGATACTGATACACGTTTGTTAAAAATATCGTGGGAATTCTGCCTACAACGTGTGAAATAAGGAAAAGAGAAAATCGTGCCTTCGATGTTCCGACATCTTGTTACCAAAACGAACCGTTTTGGCAACCAGCGTAATCGAGTGGATCACCAGTGTAAATATAACACGTTCACGTACGTTCTCCTAAAATGTGTCCCTTTCGTGTTGTGTCATTTCAGAAACCGACCTCGTACAACACGGTGGTTATGGGCCCCATAATACCCTGCTGACATTGTTCGAATACTGGAACATTAGCATCTATACAACGATAAATGGACCACTTGATCTCGAATCACATGCTACGATGTCATTCATTCATTTCTATATCGCAGACATCTTGCGTGGCAACTCTCCTATATTTGGTATCGGATACGCCTGTGAATACAATCTCCCCTCGAAAGCCGGTTCATTCTGTGGGCCTTTCAACGTATATCCAGATTATAGCATCGATAAAACTAAAAATTCAACCTCTCCCATTGAAACATACATTGGAACTTATATTAAAGGAGATGATGAGGTCGAAATTAAAATTGACGCCGTTACCCCTAACTTAGTGATGGTGAAAGGATGTGAAGAGTACATTCTTTACCCGGATGGTGAGGCCCACTCCTTTGTTGTTGAGTCCACAGGAGAATGTTTGGGATGTGCTAAAGGTGTTGTCTTCACAGGCTTACCAGAATCTGCATCGTTTGAGGGTTTCTCAAGTCTGAGTATAGATGGCGTTCGGTTTCGAAATTTGAAAATAAGCTCCGCGAGCGAAAGCGAATGCGATCAATTATAGGCCCTTGGTCTGCAAAAGGGTCTGGCAAAAGGGGTGGCGACCTTGCAATATGGAGTTGCAAATGATCAATAGTACAGTGAATGATAAATGTTGGGTTGATTTTTCAAATCACCCCAACTGCTTGTGTATTGAAATCTTGGGGTTGAAAGCTAGTGCATGGTTATTCAGATAAAATTCAGCTTTGTGTCAACTACTGACAATGTTTTACAAACCCAAGTTTTCAGTACACACAATAAGAAATGCTACATTTTATACATAAACTTTCACCTGAATAAAAATTCATCTTTGAGTCACTCTAAGCGTTGATGTTAGTTTTGATCTGCAGATGACAGCATTGGCGGATCCAGGGGGCGGGGGGATTTTTGAGAAAGAGTCGAAGGCATGCTAGGCGAACCCTGGAAACACGGATTCGTTAGACCAGGGTTCACTGTTTCTTTCTGTTAAACCCTGTGTGAAAGTACATTCATGATTCATACTACAGTGAGCAGGAGGTTTAACAGTGAACCCGGGTGCTCTTTGGCCTTATTTAGATCTTTGTTTCTTAGACCAGGGTTCAGCAGGGTTTAAGGGCATTCCAAACGAAATAAGTGTTTAATGAGGCTAAGAAATAGAAAAATGTGCTTAATTAGAATCATATACCTTGTATTTTGTACTTAGTAAATGTTAAACACATGAAAATCAGTTATTTTTATCAGTGGCCTAAAGTACCAAAAGTCAAAAGACCCCTTCTACTCTAACTTGTCACTTCATAGTTCAGCCATCTTTGTTTTCAACTTGTTTGAAATGAAGAAAATGCGTACTTTGAGTTGGATTTACTCCGTGATAACTGTTTTTCATAGCAAAACCATGGTATGTTTTGAAGAATATCTACCCAGAGACGAGAATTGGTAAGTTTCCACTCTAAAATCGAAGTATTTCTCTACGAAATGATCGATCGAATTTTGAAATATTCCAAAAAACGGATTTTTTTAGATCTACTGGTACTTTGAAAACTCATCGGCGATTTCTGACGAACTGAGAGGGTATAGACAGCTTCATTGTAGCAGGAAACATTCTTTCATTTTTTCAAAAAATATATATGCGGGTTTCGAGTCGTAGTTTTGATGTTTACTTTTCTCAGACTTTTGAAATGAAGAACTAAGAGCCTTATTCTTGACATTTAGCAGTTTAGTGTTAGAGTCTAGCAAAGAATTGGCCCTCAAATGATAACAAATAAGAAAAATAACCTGGGGGTATGTTTCAGAATATGTCAAGCCTCTTCGTGAGACTATCGAGTGGAAAGCTGTGTCTGAGCAAGAAAGCTGCAAAAGCTGCCCAAGTCAATAAGGCGAGGAAGCCTGTTGGGAGGGCCATGGTCCTAGCTGAGGTGCTGGCACAAGCAAAGAAAACTGGACCTGGTGCGAAGGAAGAGTGGGATTGGCTCCCTCACTTCATGTTACAGTTTGCTGCCTTCAGAGGCCAGACCTTCAAGTGGCTTGTAAAGAATTCTTTGGGTATGTTACTCGAGTCTTAAGCTAGACGAAACTTCATTGATTTCGTATGTACTGTGCTACACGCACCTACACGCACCTAGAACTCATTTTTAATAAATTTTATAAATATTTTTAAGAATATTAATCATATTTAGGATGAAGCGTTGCTTGTCTGGATTTAGATATTTCAAAATTTCATTTCGGAGTTTGACACATGGTGAAATTTTCTCGCTGTAGCTAAAAATGGCTTCCGGTTCTGGACGTGAATAACATTTGAAATATTATTCTCGCTTAAAGAAATCAAATATAACAATAGATTCAGACGGGGATGTGAGCTGATGTTCTTCAAATCTATACATAAAGGTATATTTCATATTATTATGCCATATTTACTGTGCGTGTGACACAATGATTTACAATATTTATAATACTAAGGCAGCTCAATCTTCCTCCTCAAAGCCGGAATATAGAGAAGGCTTTGGACCGAAGTAATGGGTATGCTGCATACATTGTAGAATCTGTCGACAAAGAGTGTGCAACTCCTGCATCCCTGAGCCAGAACAAGGCAGCTCTGGTCAAGTACCTTATGGCATTTCTGGAGGGCAAAGAGGCCTTAGAGATGAAGAAGTTAAAGGGTTCCAAGAAAAGACCCCAGAAGCTGATTAAGTATATAGATCCATTTTCTCATGTACATACATGTAAAACATTTCAGGGAAATCGCAGTAAGAATTTTCTTAATAGCCCGAGCAATATTCTTATATGTGCGTACATGCTAAAAAATATTTTGGAGCTGTTAAGAGCTCTAGTCTTATTTCTAGCATTATTCTGAATGGCCCCAGTATTATTTCAAGTTTTTACACATGCAAAATTTTTTTTGATCCACAATATGTAGAAATTTAGAAATCAAACATTCAAACACTGAAAGATATACACTGTTATAGTGAATATATTAGTGTTTAAATGTTTGATTGAGGTATAAAAAAAATTGTTACAGTACAGTGTATGTAACAATTTTTTGTTACACCTCAAATAATATTCCTAGTATGTACAAACATGTTATAAAATTATTTCGAAACCTGACGAAGCTAATGTGAACTCTATAGTATTACATAAACACAGGGGTTTCACTAGAATTTCTCACAACAGGCTAAATAAAAGAAAACAACAGGAAAAATTTATGGAAATCATAAATTTAACATGGAAAAGTTGAAAAATCCCTGAAAACAACAGGCGATTTTGTGAAAACAACAGGTGAAAATTGCCTCTTGCTTGCTGCTAATGAAAACCCAGTCAACATATCTTAAAAATCAAATAATATCTTGAGTCCGATATATAATGATTTTATTAATGAATCCGCTTAATGATCCTAGGGGCTTCCCCAGAGTTTTCCACTCAGGTCAGCCTAACCCTTTGTTGCACACAAGTGATCAAACTGGCAAATGCATTGTATGTTATACTCCTCATAATACATATTTTTCACATTAATCTTTTGAAATGGACCTATTTTATTTACAGTGGAGTGAAGAAAGGGCAGCAAGAGGATCTTTTCACAGATGATGTGACAGATACAGAGCTGCTGCAAGCAACAGGAGATGTGGTCCTTCAATCGTTTCCCAAATCCCAAAGTCCCCCAAGGTCGGATAATTATTTTAAGCATTCAATACCTTTAAAGGTAGAGATGGACGCAATACTATCGAGCACAACTTCTGGACCTAGATCTGAGAACCTGTTCCTCTGTACATGGAGGTTGGGACATTAGTGAAAGGTAGGGTAACACTTCCCATCTACAGATGTCCCCGGGGCTCAACATCGCTTGCGTCTTTTCACAATCATACCAGGTGAGTTTCTTATTTGGAATATTCTGAAGAAATTAAAGGCCCCATTTAAAATTCAAATATTTGAAGATTACAAAGTGGGCAACCTATCTAAATAGTTTTTTAAGTCATAAAAAGTAATATTTAAATGATTAAAACTATATATCCAAACTTGACGGGGCCTTTATCTATTTGATAAATAATTTTGTAGTGTCTGACAATGCAGACTGTCCCAGAGAATTTTTTAAATATTAGCATATGTGAATACTGCTTTGATGGGGTCTTAAAATATATATAATATAATATTATTATCCCATCGAACGAAGTTCGGAGGGATATAGGGAATGCCTCCGTCCGTACGTACATCCATCCGTCTGTCCGTCCATCCGGGCAATAACTCAAATACCGTTGGCCCGATTTTGTTCATATTTGGTATGTGAATACTATAAGCATTGCACACTGTCCTATGACACTTTTGGTAGAAGGTGGCCATTTTGAAAAATGGCCGCCATTTTAATGTATTTTACCATAACTCGAAAAGTAGTGGAGCGATTTTGTTCATATTTGGTATGTGAATACTATCAGCATGGCACACTGTCTTATTACACTTTTGGTAGAAGGCGGCCATTTTGAAAAACATTTTGAAAAATGGCCGCCATTTTAACGTATTTTACTATAACTCGGAAAGTAGTGGAGCAATTTTGTTCATATTTGGTATGTGAATACTATAAGCATGGCACACTGTCCTATGACACTTTTGGTAGAAGGCGGCCATTTTGAAAAACATTTTGAAAAATGGCCGCCATTTTAACGTATTTTACTATAACTCGAAAAGTAGTGGAGCGATTTTGTTCATATTTGATATGTAAATACTTTAAGCATGGCACATTGTCTAATAAAACTTTGGGGAGTAGTCGGCCATTTTGAAAAATGGCCACCATTTTTATGTGTGTTATTTTACAAGTACGTGTGCGATTTTTCAAAAATTTTAGAGGTGGCTACTTAAAAGCATATTATTTCTTCTGATGACAACTTGGCTTGTGAGCAACCATTTTGAAAATGATGGCCTTTCTGGTGTGTTGTTTTATGATATTTGCGCTTCGTTTGTAAAAATGCCAGCCATTTCTGTTCGATGGGATTCGCTACGCTTTGGCTTTGCCGTTGTTCTGGTTATGTATATTATTATTAAAATGTTTAAAAATGATTGAACTTTACTTTAAGGAACCAGGGCCAGTGCCTTGCATTTCCGGAAGGTTTAGCAAGGTGGAATGAGCACAGGGTCCATGCAGCAATCTCATCTAGCCATCCTTCCACTAAGACACTCTGCTGCAAAGTGCAGTTGGCTAGTTTAGGCTTAATGTGTTTGATGTAGAAATAGCTCCAGAAATAGTTCACCCCTCTCAGGAAGGACACAGGTATGTAAACAAGGTTGAAATTACTGTTGACCTCCCACCACCTGCCATAGCTTGAAATACAGTGTGGGTCATATCTACTCAACAGTAGTTTAAAATTTAGAACCTGATATACTCTGTTCAAGATGGCCACTAATTATCAAAATGTGTTTTGTTCGGTGGGATTTGCTACTCCGTGGAGTTGCTGTTTTTCTTGTCGAATTATGCTCCCCTGAAAATGGGAGAGACTGCTCCTGAGCTGTTAGGAGGTAAAACCCGATAGCCTGATCTGTTGCATCTGTAATTTTGAGGATCATATAGGTCCTCTAGAATTCATTCTATCAATGCCTGAATCTTGCTGAAATACTGACGCAAGTTGGCAACCTTGATGTATAGCACATTTTTATGAATCAATGCTTAACAATCATTTTCTCAGAAATGAAGCAGAGTACCATCTCCTA